CCTACATTAAACAAATATCAGAAGTGAGGTAAGTGTCCATGGCATTAAAATCAAAGCCAGTGCTTCTTAGACTTTGTATATACCAGTCTCCTTAATATGTTATCAAAGCAGATCAACTTACTGTTGGTATAAAGTATGGCAAATAATATTTGAAGGTACTAATAATGCTAAAAGAATAACTTATCTGTTTTATATAAAAGCCAGTTTGATTTTTTCAAATTAGCTTGCACTCACAGAGGCCTACAAATTCTCAGTAATGATTCTAGATGGCAAAATATTGTGTTGCTAATTGATACTACCACTATATAACTTAGAAGTAATTCTAAAAGAAGTCATGAAGTATGGAGAGTATGGGTGAAGGAGATGAAAGTACAAAATGGATAAAAGAAAGGATGAAAGGAGTAAGGGATGAAGATATGAATGAAGTCATTCTGCATTGAATTTCAGTGACCCTTTTCCACTAATTTAAGGTAATTAATTCCAACTATATAATTGCATACTGTCATGTCAAGCATTTCTTACAGCATTCACTACTTTAGCTTATGTAATATAAAACAATTGCTATAATAGCAGCACAGTGTTTCTCTAAAAATGACTCATAAATAGTGTGTAAAGTGTGTGAGTGGTTATATTAGAGTATTTGAAGTTAAACCTTTTTAGTCCATTACCAGAACTGTCTTTTTTGGTCCAATTATAAAGGGCTGGCCATAGTTGGTGTAGAAATACAGCTGCTCATCAGTAGTATGTCAGAAGAAACATGGCAGGCACTCCCAAAATTGGAACAAATGTTGATGGTTTAATTAACTTAATGCTGGTGAGTGGTTGTGGAGGTTGAGTGTCAGACTTTATATTGTGGTCTGTCTGACTTTGCTTTTAGGGCAACAGCATGGGATAATGCAGGATTCCCAGGTACAGTACAGATTAGAAGTTAAATGCGTGTTTACAAAGAGGCGCCTCTGATTTTATCTATCAGTGTGATGTAATAGATTTACTCTCGTTTGAAGAAATGGAAGATCAAAACTACCTGTACATATTATTGCAGAGACTGTCATGTGCATTGATATGCTTGTAGCTTCAGTGGGGTCATTTTCATTAATTTTTCTTGGAACTTTCATGTATTGACAAAGTTTGGTAAGATTGCAATCTCAGATTCCATGAAAGCCCATTCAGTGGTTTTCAACTTCTAAAGAACTTGAGTTAAGGTCATCTTGGTTGCCAGGTCACTGCTTACACCATTTGCACAAAAGCTATGCAGATGTGAACAAGGTGTATTTACAAGAAGAACATGTGTTCAAACATGAAATTTCCTTCACATTAAAATAATTTTCTGCTGTTCATGAACATGCAGCAGTGATTATTCTGACGAGGAAATACTGTATAACAGCAGTATGCAAACTGGTAACAAAATTTTGGGACATGGGAAATGTTTGTGACCAGTGCTAATTGAGTGAAAGAACAACTGAAATGATTAAACTGTGTTGTCTGTTCCTTCAGTCAGCTGCCTAAGAAGTATTTAGTATTGACATGGCACAAGTTGGAAGGCCTTCCATTTTCAATTTTAAAAGTATAAACTTGTGGATGATTTATAGCTGTTATTAACTGTCCGTTTAAATGACTGGAATAAAACAATTTTGTATATGATGACTGAAGGTTTTCATGTGTTGCTGGTCTAACCAATGGCTGCTCTTAATTTTCCGGTAGTTCCCCTAGTAGATTGTTAAAACAAAATAAATTTACTTGAAGATATTTTCTATATACATTTTTGGGTTTAGAATATGATTTTTTAAGAACATTCAGTTCCAGAATTAAAAGAAGAGAATGTACTCAATGGTTTCAAGTATTCAGCTTGGTGGCTGAATTTTCTCTTCTGAATTCAGTGATAGTTCAGCCTGTACAGTATTATGCTGATAGGATTGAATCAGGTGTGTAGAGTGTTGCATTCAGAATTTTTATTAACTCTTTATTATCATTATAAAAATGCAGTATAAATGAATACATAAAAAATCATTGTGTAGCTTATTTTCTCCATATATTTTGCCACTTTCCAGCAGGAGGTTATGAATGATCTTATACTATTTGTTTCATGCCACATGTATTTTTACTAACTGTAATGAAAGTGGATCCTAATGTAAGAAGTTTTAAACTGAGAAATGAGAATTTGTGAGTTTTAGTTATGGAAAATGGCTCTTGCATAGACCTACAACCTGAATAATTTGCAGTTTAATACAAGTTCTTACAACATACATATTAAATTATCAGATAAAGCATAGGATGTAAGTGGGTATTGTTAATGTGAGTTGTGTATACATGAACTTGTGGCTATATCAACAGTCTAACATTAACATTTATTGTATGGGAATATGGGATTTAAACCCCCATACTATAGTGCTGCCATCCAGACTCTAACTCCAGGTTTAATGATTTAGTGGCACACATGGCCAGCTGGATTGCATGTATGCTGCAATAGACAATCAGTAAGGGTTAATTATTGGCAGTGTAAAATACATATAAATATGAAGTTGCATACTATTAAAGATGCATATAGTTAACAACAGCATGGAGTGCCATCAGGGTTGGTGGGGGGATTTGGTTTGCAAATTTTGGTTCTACCATTTGAACCAAAAACAATGTTACAGGAGAATGTGAAATAACCACATGTTGAGGACTTGGTGTAATAGGTGTGTGTGAATTTCCCTGTACTGCTGCTTGACTTCCCATTGTCAAGTTGTCCTGTCACACTCTTGGTAACTGTGACAAAACTGTCGGGTGTGGGTTGGTTGTAAGAATTCAGGGAGTGGCCATTCCTAATATGGTTTCCATTTCTTGAAGTTCTGCCATTCCTGTGGCTGTATCCTCCATTTCTTCTTACAGAAAATGATTGTTGTCCACCATTTCTTAACTGTGTGTTCTCTGTACCAGCATGCCCTGATTGACTGCTTTGATCATAACTTCGTTCTACAGACTGCTGACCTATTGGGATACTCATAACTGATGGCTGATAGCTTTCTGCTGAAGGGTTTGTGTGGGTTACATTCCCTACCCCAGGTGTTACAATAACAGTTTGTGACTGACCTCCCTGAGCAGCTGTCTTCTGAGGACTTGCAACAGATGTTATTCTTCCTCGATATCCCTTGGGTATAGTATATTCTGGAGTGCCATGTATGGTTTGACCTGGTTGTAGGATATCTCCAGGATTATATTGGTCTTGATCATCCACATCCTGAATTACATGTGCACCACGCCCATTCAGTGGACCAAGAACAATATGTTGAGTTTGTGTTGGTACACCTGTGTGTCTTGTGTCATTCACTGTGGCATCATACGTTTGAATTCTGTATCCTTGTTGTGCTCTACCATTTTCATTTCTTGCGATTCCAAAATTGCTGGTTTGCCCATGTTGAGATCCTGTTTCTGTGCCTGTATAGGCATCAGGTTGTCTTGTTGTTTCATCATTATAGTCTCTCATGTGATCACTATGATGTGGTGAAGTTACAACTTCTTGTCCTGCGCTCCCATCTTCATGAGTTTGTTGCTCACTGAGAACATGTGAAGATGGACTGTTGTTTAATGAACCAAATTGTTGATATCCTGACTGCTGGCCATTTGATATTGA